CCCCGGGGGGGGGGGGGGGGGGGGGGGGGCATTGCCCGGCTCCCGCCGCGGCCATCGGAGCATCTCGCTGTCCCGCACGGTCGGCCACGGGCAGCGGGAACGGGCCCTCCGGAAACCTGAGCTGGAGCGGTAGAGGAGGGGAGGAGAGTCGTCTTCACAGAATCACTTAGGTTGGAGATCGCTGCGTCCAGCCTATGACCAACACCACCGCGTCAGGCTAGACCCTGGCTCTAAGTGCCATATCCAGTCTTTTTTTTCATCACCTTCAGGAGCAGTGACTCCACCACCTCTTGGGCAATCCATTCCAATAGCTTATCACTCTTTCTGTCAAGGGTGCTTCCTAATGTCCAGCCTCAACCTCCCCTGACACCAAAACTATGTCCTCTTGTCGTCCGGGAGAAGAGACCGATCCCCATGTGGCTAAAGGGCCTTTCAGGGACCTGTAGAGAGCAGGTCTTAAGGGCTCCCCCTGAGCCTGCTCTTCTGCAGGCTGAACACCTCCAGCTCCCTCAGCTGCTCCTCAGAGGACTGGTGCTCCAGCCCCTTCACCAGCTCCATTGCCCTTCTCTGGACTCACTCCAGCCCTATAGCACTGCCTGAGGGTGACATTTGTGACAGGGATGGCAGTGTCTGAAAGTGTCAATAGACACAAGAGGATGAAACCCTGAGGTGCCCGGTTGTCCTCTCCAGGCAGAGCACCGTGTCTCTGTGCAGCTGGATGGACATCCCACACACCATCCTTTGGGAACTGGACAGGCACTAACACTTTCTCAACCTGTCCTGAAAAGGCACTTGTGGTCTCCTGAGGTGGCAAGAAATTGCAGAGACTCTGAAGTGCTGTCCCTGAGCATGTGGTCGACCTCTCTAACATAGCATGCTCTGGAGCCAGCTAATCTCAATTGTCATTACTGCTTCTCAAAAGCAGGGGTAGTTCCTTCTTCAAGGGAAAAGGCTTTCCCTTCTGTCAGGTAAAGATGCAGAATTTTATGTGTTTTTATTTTAAGGATCGGGATGGCCTACAAAGACGTGTCTGATTGTCATTCTTTCATGTGGCTTCATTATTCCTTAGTAAAATAAATGAACTGGTATTCTTTGCCCTTAAGATTTCAGACATGAAGTTCATTCATGACTTGGGGATGAATTTCTTTCCACCTATGCCCTCTGTGGATTTGAATAAAGCAATAAAAATTTCCTGCAGCTGAATGAGAGGGGTTATTTTTGTTTCTGTATAAAATCCAGAAAACTTGCTACAAAGTATTAAGTCCTTTTTTTGTTTTGTAGTAAGGTAATCAGTATTTCTGTAGATGGAGGTAATACAGTAAAATTATGTATTCTTTGTCATACTAAGTTGAATAATATTTCAGTTTTCTTTTTGTGTGAAGTCAACAAAAACTATGAATATTTTTGGGTGCTGATTTTATTGTATTGATCTTGAGGGTACTAAAAATATGTGGTAAAAGATATTAAAGTAAGCAAATCGAAATATCCCAGTTTCTTTAATGTGTTTCTTGTTCTGCAAACCTAAAAAGTGAGAGCCTTTAATGCATATTTTTCCTTTAAAGTCCTTTCTTAAAAATATGAGTACATTGGAGCTGAATCTTTTCACAATGTAGTAATGCATCTTTTCTATTTTCTTTAATTTTTCAGAACTATCATGACATCATGTCTTGCCACCCAGAAAACTTTCAGTGGGAGCACTGGAGTTTTGAAAATGTTGCTACCATACTTGCACGCCGGTTCCCCAACAGCTTTATTTGGGTCATAAAGTGCTCTCGAATGCACCTGCACAAATTCAGTTGTTATGACAATTTTGTGATGAGTAACATGTTTGGAGCACCAGAGCACAGCACTGACTTTGGAGCTTTCAAGCATCTCCATGCTTTGCTAGTTAACGCATTCAGATTCTCTCAGAATATTCTGCTGTCCCAGAAAAGTGTGCATGGTGTCAGCAAGGATGCAAAAATAGCTGCTTGTAAATCACAGCCGCAGTCTGTTCCTGCAACAAATGGCTGCTCATCCAAAGAAAGGGAGAGAGATTGTGAATGCTCTGATAATTCTGCTGTGAACTTCATGGTACCGTTGGCTGTAGGTGCAGCGTCATTTACTTTGATTGGCTTCAGTAAAGGCTGTGTGGTTTTGAACCAGCTGCTTTACGAGCTGAAGGAAGCCAAGAAAGACAAGAATACAGATACCTTCTTAAAAAACATAAAAGCAATTTACTGGCTGGATGGTGGTCACTCAGGAGGAAGCAATACTTGGGTTACTTACCCTGAAGTGCTGAAAGAACTTGCAGAGACAGGAATTGAAGTTCATGCTCATGTTACACCATACCAGGTGTTTGACACAATGAGGTCATGGATTGGGAGAGAGCATGAGAAATTTGTACAGATACTTGAAGGATTTGGTGTGGAAATAAATGATCAACTGCATTTTGCTGATGAAGTTCCCTCCTTAGACAACCATTTCAGAGTTCATGAAGTATTTTGAGACTGTATGTATATGAACATATATATTCTTTGTAGAAAGTATGTTTGAGTATATTTGAGTATATTCTTTGTAGAAACTTTTAACACTGTGTTGTCAACTTGATTTTCAGCTTTGAGTAGATGCTTTCTAAACAGAATACTAAGTCAGTTCTGTCTTGCTCATAGATACAATATATAAATTTCTGTCACTTAAAAAAGGCATATTGGGACCCCATAACTATAACAGACGTTGTTTTTTGATTCCTGGAAAAAAAGTGTTATGAAGAACAATCCTATACACTTTTTTTTTTTTTTTTTTTTTTTTTTTTTTTTTTTTGTTAAATGTGAATGTTTATTCTTAAACTGTTGGCAGAATTTTTAGTCCTGGATGTCTAGTATCACAGACTGCACTTAATGGGACTTTAAAGTACTTGATAATTTTACATATGTGGATACTTCAACTGAGTGGCTTCCAGGGCTAGAAATATTGCTCTTTGCCAATAACAGATTGAAGGTTAGTTTTTTGGCTTAAGGAAATTGATTGTAAGAAGAATCATAGTTACATATTTTGCTGAGACCTGTTTTATATGGTAATTAAATATTCCAGTTTTGTAACATTTTTCCTGTTTGAAACAAAGTCACAAATACCTTTGGAATAATAGTGCCAATGCATTTCTCTTCCTTACGTGTTCCTTGCCATTTCTGTCACTCTAAAGTTTGATTAATTAATTGTGTAGTATCTGCTAGTGAACAGCCATTTCACCTGGGGGCTTGAAAATTTGATGTAGCTATGTTAAGCAACCAAGAATGTTGATTAGGGTGTAGCTTGTTCCTTTTTCAACATACCTTGCTGTTGCTTTGCTAACTTTTGTAAGGACCAACCTTTATTATCACATCCAGCGGTGACGTCCCTACCTTGGGGTTTTTCTTGGTAATTGCTGCATTGATGTTGCTCTAAACTGAGCCATAAGCACAAAATCTATTACAAGTTGCATAAAAAAAGATTCAGACTGTGTTGACTGTAGCTTTTTCAAAATGCCTCAGTTTTAAGATCTATTATCTCCTTTAAATGTATTGCAGTAGTTGCTTCTAGAGCCATCCAAAAATCTTATTTTTGGAGCCTAATTTTTCCTACAGAAAAAAAACAATCTCTAATTAAATAGAAAGACAGCCAGATTTGATACAAAAGATGTTATCTGGTTCAGACACCAAACCTGAGTGTTCTTAAGAAAGAAATACTGAAAGATAGACAATGATGGTATTAATGGAACTTTTCTACTGTTGCAAGTAACTTCCCACTTATCTACAAAGCTTAGAATCATTCTTAAAGGCAACTGCGGCTTTTAACAATGAACCAGTAACTCCAAATGGTTTTGGATTTCCTGAAGTACAGGAATACAAAAGCAAGTAAAGGAATACAGAACACCATGAAGATTACACAAACAATTGTGGCTAAGTTTTGAAAAAAGGCGTTTTATTCAACTTTGGTTCTATGTTTGATGGCTTAGTGACATCTCTGCCCTGCTGCTTGTTTCCTGTGACCCTTACACTGTGGAAGGGAAGTCCTGGGTGATCTTCCTTTTGTTGTCATCATTAAAATTTAAAAGGTTCCTTGTAGGCAACTTTTGGCAGAAATTGTGCACATCAGTGATCACTGAACAATGAGAAAAGTGTGTTGTACTCCTAAGAAAATTCTCTTAACACTCAAAATATTAAGGGTGATAGAAAGAATTATGCATACAGTGTGCACCTTACAATTTGAAAGAGAACTCTATCACTAATAATTAGATTAATACACCTAATTCATCGATATGTTCATCAAAATAAATCTATTTTAATTGAAGAAGAAAAGTGCAACATGCAAACAAACTCAAAAAAACCTGTAATTTCGTTCCATCTCCTTTTTTCTTTTAGTTTCTTGGAGTTTTCGTTCACTTCTATTTCTTGATTACCATCTTAATAGGCTTATAACAACTTTTTAATGTGTTTCATGGAACATTTTTTCCCCTTTTTGGTCCTTTTGTTAACGTTTGCAGCATATGTGAGGACTTTTTTCTGTAAAAGTATGAGTCACCTAAAGAAGTGGTTTTAATAGAAAGCCTGCAAATGGCTTGAAATGTATTTAACCATCCACTTACAAAATAAAATTTCAAAAAGTAATCCAACAAAAGCCCCAGAACATTCTATTGCTTTTGCTCCCACAGTTTCAGACTGACTTGGCTAAGCTGGGTGTGCTAACACTTGCCCAACCCAATAACTCTGCAGATCAGAGACCAATTTCTAAACAAATCTGTGCCTGCCAAAACAACAGGACTACGTTGTTGCAAGCTTTTGGAAATAGCTGTTAAAATATTGACATTGTCTTCAAAAGTTTCTGGATGGCTGTCCTATGAAAATAATACTAACCTGTTTGATGAAAGCTGCCTACAATAGCTTTAAATAGGCTCAAGTGTTGCTGCATTACTTTGAAGAATAGGCACTTTGTTGTAAAACTAATCTTGTTATGAGACCTCGTGTTGTGGGGGGAAAACTGACTGATTGTTTTTCATTCTTTAAACAGCTGTAGTACTCTGTTGGAATGTGCCTCTGTCATTCACTACAATGCATGCTAAAAATAAATTTTGCAAACTATGTAGAAAATAAACTATTTCTAATGGGTGAAACCACTTTGATGTGAGTATAAAACCATTAAACAAGGAATGTGCACTTTTGTGGACTAAGCTTTTTCAGGTGTTTGTGGAGACCTAGTTCAAAAAATCGATTTATTTGGTAACTTTTCTTCAAGGAGGCTTTGTATTTGTGCAGTCAGCATCCATAATTTTAAAACAGCTTACTGGCATCTCACAAACACAGGAAAGCTGGCATGAAGCAGCCAAGGGTGGGACATTTCTATGTTAGGATGAAATGCATCATAGTTTGCATATGCCCATTTTTCAACATTAACTGTAAAGGCAGTTCTTAATAAGCTTAGATGTAAATGCCTAAAGTTAGGTGGCTCTCCTACTTATAGTGGTGTAATTCAAGACACGTCTGGTTTTTAATGGAGTGAGCAACATTACACAGTCCTTGGTACAACCTAGTAATGGCTGGTGTCCTTTGTATTACATGCTTGTTTCTGGTACAATAGACAAGACATTATTCAGATTTTAAGGCATGCTAACATGTTCTAAACTGTGACTTCTAAATTCTTTTAAAGCAAGGCTTGATTCTGTGAAATTGTCCAGATGACTTAAATGATTTTTGTGTGAATCTAAAATGCTAGAAAGTTTGGTAAACTTCTTCCTATCTGGGGCCGATTTAATCACATCTCTGCAAATGCTGATGTCAGTAGTGGCCCCTAATTTTGGATGATTAAGGGTCCCGTCCTTAACATGTGGCTGAAAGGAGCAATTTTCTCTGTCCCCTGCACAATCACTTTTATGATAAGCTGTTCTATCTTTCTAAACAAACATCATTGCTGATAGAGATAAGTAACAGCAGTGCTATGTATTTAAATAGTCATAGAAATTATTTTAAATAAGACTGCTAAGTCAGTTCAGGAGTTAGACTGTTACAACTGTGGATATGCACAGATAAAAATGATAATGAATGAGCATGCACTCAAGATTTTCCCCCAGAGGTTCTTTTTGGGCTGTAACAGTTCATCTCTGCACATAACCAATACTTGTTGTCTTGTGCAGAATGAAATTCAAAGCACTGAGGTTAATCATATACCCATTCATTTACCTTGAATGCTTATTTTAAATTACATGGGGTCTTATCTGTTAATACAAGAAAGAATTATTAACAATGAAAATTTTGCTATGTGTGTGCTCTGTTGTGACACCTTTAGGTACATTGCAGCCTAGCAGAATCCACAAACACAAATATGTGTCTGGTGCCCTTGTGCAATACAAAGGCAGGTGACTCAAGACTGCAATCCATAAGAGAGAGCATCTTTAAATCACCTTCAAAGTTAATTCACAATCTTTTTAAATCTTATATTGAAATCTCATTTCATTTTTGTAAGGATGGTAGATTAAAAAAAAAAGTTTAACTTCTAATGGTCATAACCTGATGAAAATTTAGACACATTTAAATATTGCAGATGGAGAAGCTAAGACCAAAGCTGGCTTTCTGTTGGTGGTGTTGATCTCTTAACTCAGTTCAGATGTAGGGTGACTGGTTTTAAGTGGAATAAAGCAACATGAAGTCATGAAGCCAGTAATGCAAGATCATATAACACCCCTGTGCATCAGACAGGCACTGCCTGTTCCAGTGCCAGACATACTGTTCCTGACTAACTTCATTCTGTTGGTATTAACAGCGTAATTCACTCCTGCTGACAAAAAAACCCACTTGCACCAGATTAGCTGTTCTACATCACCGTGGAAACCGTGGAAGACTGATTCAGGCAGTCTTTTTGAATAGTGGAGTTTGGGTTATAAGGTAGTGATGGCTTTGTTGTTTTCTGTCATTAGGACTTGATTACATGTTTCCAAGTGACACAAGAAGTGACAAATTCTACTTAGCAAATAACCAGAAAAGCACCTGGGAATAAAAAAGGGAAAAATAAATTACCTGGTTTTAATTCATGTGTATAAACACCTTATGTACTTGAAAAGGAACAGAGTGCCATTATTTCAAGGTTCAGAATAAATTTTCTTTCTTTCAGTAGGCTCTCAAAAGAACACTTTCAGTCATGATTGCTAGTTTCTTTTGTTAAACTTGGCATTTCAGAGCTGAGTTGTTTCTAAAGAAAGCACTGCTGCAAGACATAAGAAATAGTCAGGAGACAGACTAGTGCTGAAGGGCAAGACAAGGCTCTTCTGCCACAGCAGAGTTTATGCTCTGAGCAAAACTCCCAAGCCTGGGTGTCAGACAAAGCTGTTTTATCTCTTACAGACCGTGTGCTTAGCTCTTCTTTCCCATTCCCATTCATGAGAAATACACTAGGGTTTTGTGGTGGAAGTTTAAAGCAATTCATGTCTTGCTTGACAGCTGAAGTATAAATGTTTTCACAGCAGAAATTGTCCATTGCTATGATCTGTGTTATTACTGTAAGCAAGAGCTTCTGAGCATTTTTGTATGAATGCAGCACCGCACGTGGAGCTGCGTGTGTGACATGGTTGAGCAGTTCTTTTAATGGCTTCAATCTGTGACAAGGAACAGACCTGAACAGTTGGAAACCAAGTCATCTGCTCTTGTTGCTCTCAGGAATTGCCACTTAAGAGAGATTCTTGCTCCCAGAAATTCCTACATACAGAGTTCAGAATCTATCCCCACTGTAGAGTCTGATCCAAAGTAAAACAGGAAATCTTAGTGTACAGTTCTACTGCACATTGACTGTAAACTTGGGTAACTCTCTAAGAAAATGTAAAACTTCATCCATCCTTCAAATAACACCAGACTCTTTGGTTATTGAGAGATACCAACACTTAGAGAATCCCTTGCAAAAGCTACTGTCTCAGAATGTGTATCTTCAACACCTGTATCATCATCAGGAAGATACCAGGTTTGGGAAGATACGTTTTGGTGAGAGGAAAAAATCGAGGGCATACAAGAATTTCTCTGAAGCTGTGAAGGAAGGTATATTGGGATCACATCAGTTGTAATTTACCTCTACTGTGGTAAAATCATTCTCTTCTTAGTCAACTCAGTCTTGTGAAAGCAACAGTATGAATGAGACAAATAGTTTCATCCTGCATATTTTAAAAACAATTACAAATGTATTTCTGATCCTTTGTGATCCAAGTCAAACCCTTTCTCAGTAGTCGTTTGACTTGACACTTAACCTAGACCCTGTGTAGCTACTGGAGAGGAAGATGTTCTAAGTACATCAAATTGTCAGCACAAACATGACAGGCAGATTTTTAATTATATGTTTGTTTGACAAGAAAAATATTTTTACATCAATTTCTTTCATTTGAATGTTTCCACAGCAAGCACATGTAATAAAAAATGGAATTTGAAATAATTTGTCATCCTTTATATTTCATATGGCTAAGAATAAATAATACTTTCCAGGTGTTGACTTGCAATGAATTTCTATTTTAAATGCCTCAGTCACCAGATTTTTAGAGTAATTCAAGGTTTGGGGTAGGCCAAGTTTAAACTTCTGATTTCAGACATTGTCTTTATGTAAATGTCAACTCATCTTTCAGTCCTGGACAGTCTGCATCACCCAGCTCCTACAAATACACTGTTTGAAATGGCTGCTTTGAATGCTCAAGATGATCAGTGTTTATTTTTCTAATACCTGTTAACATAACTTCGTCTGTTTTATTGTGGCAGGATCTCTAACAGACAAAAGTCCACAAAATGTCAGTGGCTCTAATTCTTTGTGTGATTTCAGTAATGGATTTCTAAGTGTGCCTAGTTGTAATCTTTTACTATATTATCTGAAAGTTATTCCTTTAATGCTTTCACCATTCATTCATCACTTTATTGCCTGCTTCACACCATGTTGCACAGTGGCTACAAAGCACTAAGTAACTTAATATTTTTAACACAGTAACTTCCAGATTTTTATCACTAGTCCAATTATACTCAAATTAAGAAAATACATTTTTAAATGCTTGTATTATTGTTTTGTAGCATTTCAGAAACTGTTCTAGAGAAGTTACTAAATAAAAAATTTAAGAAACTCTTTGGAAGGGAAATAAAGGCTTCATTTGAAAGTTGGCAGCATGAAGATAAAATTTACACTTGAGTGTTGAGGGGGCCTGAGGATACCAAGCTAACACCACCCTTTTATGAATGGAGACCCAAGGAATGGCAGAAGGAGGCATCAGCAGAGTGCTTCTCTGTACCAGGATCTTGAGAAGCTGCTGGCAGTTAGTGATGGCTGTGCAGGCACAATGCTGGACACACAGCTTTGGTGAGCCCTGCAGGCTCTCTGAACCTCTCCATTCAGTCCTAACACACAAAGAATATGCTCTGTTCACCTCTCCAATTCAGACTGGGCCCTTGACATTACCAGTCCAACAAAGCCAAGAGGTTACCCCAGCCTAATGGGCAAAGACATTCTGTCTCAGCAGTATGCACAAACAATCCTTGTTCCTTTCTGAACAAAAATTTTGGGAGACCTATTTGTGATCCCAAATTTAAATTCTACCCTCAGAACGTACAATGATGCCCGGCAGAATCGCTTGGCTGATTCCATTCATGCTTATTCATTGAGGTGGCTGGGTGCCCATTCACATGGTACCCAACTATTTTCACTGTGTTGAACTGCCAAGAAGAACAGGTTTAGAAGAATAATCTGCACAGTGTTCAAGCTCCTGCTCTTCTGAGGAAAGCTTTTTTCCAGAACTTTTTTAACACTACACATTTATTTAGTCTAAGAGCTTTTGACAAGTTACAATTCTCAAAAAACATTGCTAGAAGTAACAGACTGACCCAAGTCAGATAAATGCTGCATTCCCCAAACAGCACAAGTAGTAACAGCAGAGGCATTTCAAAGAGACAATGACTAGCCTATCCTTTTTGTTAGATCCCCACCTTTATTTCACAGGGCTTTTGTAAGCACCACAATCTGCTGAAAAAGTAACCTACAATGCCTAAACAACAGGCTCCATCCCAAAAGGTGTTGTGCAAACCCCCTTTCATATGGAAACAAAGAGCACATCAAATACAGCTCCTAACAGATTCTGTGTCTACTCCACAACTATGAACTCCACTGCAGATACCAGGACTGTATCTGAATGGATTTGTGAGCACATTAGCTGCAAGTGTTCCACAGCTGCAGGAACAGCAATGCTGTCTGACTGCACTGGGGCAGTAACAAAAGAGATTTCTCCCCCCAGTAAAACATTATGAGCTAGGAAAAGGGTAAATCACTTACCTTGCAGTCAAGCTGCTGCACAATTCTAAGTGTAACCTGGCATGGAAAGTTTTTGCTTTTTTTCCCATTCCCAGTCTGTCTCACTACAAGGGGGAGAAGAAACTCCCTACACTAATTGCCAGGTTATTACTTAAAAAGAAACCATGATCATTACAGCTACCACCAATGGCTTACTTTGACCTCCTGGGAAACCACTATGGCTTTCCAAAAATTTAATGAGATTGCATTCACAAAGATGTGCAGTTACTTCTAAGCATACATGCTGTCAGCTCACATACCAAAACTTTTGTTCAGAAAAATTTAAGTAGAACATTGCAAAAAAATAGTTTTAAGTGGAGGCACTGCAAATGTCAGTCTCATTATAGAAAAAAGACCATCTCCAGATCAAGCAGACTCCAGGCCTCACTAAAAACTAGAAAGAAAATCTCCAAGATCAACTTTGTTATAGACAAATATTTATTGACAGTTTTTATTGGTCTCACAGAAAGTGTATGTGCCTATGGACAGTTTCCATACTAACATACAATTTTCTACTTGCAAGAGACCATGCTGAATTACAATGTGTTACTTTATCCATAATCATTCCTATAAGCTTTTTCTTGGATACGTAACACCATTCTCCGAGCATAAAAATCTCTATATTCCTCAGGTAGTTCTTCAAGTGTTTTCAGAGCTTTGTCCAAGATTTGTATAGCTCTGGAGGCCGCCATGGGATCTTTATTTCCGTAAGTGTCAGTCTTATCATAGCTCTCAGCAGGAAGGTGCTTCCAAAAGACATTCAGTGCCACTCCAAATTCCTCAGAAATTACATTATGGAACCACAAAGCTGTAGAAAGAATAGTGTCTAAAGTAAAAATTACTGTCCAAAACTTCCGTGTGACTTAAGCAAGTGTCAGAATGCCCAAACCAAATCTAATTGAGGAAAAGCCTCAACTACTGTATTTTTGTTTATTTATAAATATTCATATGAATATACTGCATTTTACCAAAATTTGAAAAACCAAAGTTTTTCAAGACATTTACGCTGATCCATAACTTCTCATAAAATTAAAAGTTGCTGAAGTGTAGAGGTACTCAAATGTAAGCAAAGGATAAGCATGTGTAGGATGAAAGAAAGACACCTTCCCTTGCTCACCTCAACTCTAAATGCAGATATCTACTTTCACTTAGTCCCTAACCTTGCACATACTGTCCAGGCATTAATGTAAACCACCAGCCATCAGCCAGGTCACTCAGGCAAGCTGCTAATCTCTTCATGATGAAGGCATGAGGTTTTTCAGCTGAATCATCATGACTGTGGTAAGGAAGCCAAGACATCTTTGTTTCATTGAGTACATTTAAAGAATCAGTTTAATATGGTATATTTAGGATATTTGAATTTTAAGCTAAAAGTCTGAATGTTATGTTTATTGCATCTTATTTGCCTGTAGGTGCTGAAGACATAGAAAAGTTTATTCTGAGAAATCAACATGAAGTTCCTTTCAGGTTAGGAAGAGAGGCTGCTTCTACCTTCTTCATAATAACCACACGCATTCCTCAAAAAACATCTTTTTTTTCAGTGATATGCACTGTAGGATGCTGACAAAGCACAATTCTCTGGACTCAAAAATCCCTGCACTCCCCAGTAAGTCTTAAGAGAGCTGAGCATGTCTCAAGTTTGACTCTGCTCACCCACTGGCAAAGACAAAAAATTATCTGGACTTCATAAACAGAAAACAGGGATGCTGACATCAGCAGCAGTGTGACAACTATCTAACTGCAACCAAAAGTTTATTTAGGAAAAAACATAAAGGTAAATTCAAAATTAAGTAACAAGTCCAAGGCTAAGAAACTATTATAGAATATCTTCCTAAAAAACCTGTTTACTGACCTGTTTATATTGCCCAGATAATGTAGAAGTGACAGGATATCAGACAGTCCTATCTGCTGCAAGCTCACAATGAGTTAAAATCAGTCACAAGGAGGCGTAGTTCAATAGGAGTAATTCAAATGCCTTTCCCTGACTACCAGAATTTGTCATGTCAGCTCAGGAAGCAGCTTTCTGCTTGTGCAGAAAAATTATTAGGACTTCTCTTTCCATTCCCCAAAGATGATTATAAATCTTTAGAAGGTCCAATAACTCTACCATCCATAATTCTCATCAGACCATGTGCCTCACAGTGCTTAAGTGCCAGACTACAGAAAAACAGAAATGGTATTTCACTTAAATTCTGTCATTAAAAAACTCAGGTCACTGAAGTAATTTCAGATTTCAGAAGGTAAGTTTATAGTATTAATCTATTAAGACAGAAATTCAGGAGCATACAGTGTCCACTTGAGGGAAAGTAAAATTTGTAGTAGATAAAATAATACTGTTTTCCAGGTTAATTGTACAGTTGGAAAAAAAAAAAGTTTTGCCAGCATCTTTCAATGCTCCTGCTTACAACACAGAAATGCTTTAGTAACTGCTAACCATCTCCAGAAATCATAAATTAGAAACAAGAGTGTTTAATACCATGCCATGGTCAGGAACCATTTACTACTTACCTGGAATAAATAACACATCTCCTGCTTCCAAAACACATTGATAGCGTTTGGCTTTCACAAAAAGAGGATATTTCTCCAAGTCTGGGTTATCCACATCCAGCACCTCTGATTTAGTACCTAGGAAAACTTCAGTGAATAAATACTCCCATTCTTCTAATAGTAACAAAGCTTTATCATATTGCTGGAAATGGCAGTTCTTGAATGAAATTTAGCACTGCTTTATTTCTCAAAACCAGGGAAACCTGATGGCACACTTCATTTACTGAAGAGATGTTCTCCTGTTGTATTTGTTCTGTAACTGCAACCTTATTAACACTAAAAACCACTTTTCCTGACATTTGAAAAAACATTTTGAACACAGACAGAACATTTTACTCCTTCAGTTAAGTGTAATCAGGCAAATAATCAGGCAAAGCTGCTGTTCTCCTTACTTTGACTAAAACACACAGAACCAAAGGAACAAATGACTTCTCTTATACCAAGTCACCTGTTAGTGATTATTTTCTACAGTGCAACACTTGTGAGCTGAAAAGCCAAGATCACCAGACTCAGAACTAGTCACCTATGACATGCATACCTGATAAATATAAATATGGTGCATCTCGAGGACTGTACAAAACAACTTGTTTTTTCCCTGTGACTTGGATTAAGAAGTTGTCCATTACCTGGGATGAGTGTAATAATAGAAATATCAGCCAAAAGTTGAGTGAATAAATATATAGACTTCAACCAATCTAATTATTAGCTTAAAAAAGGAAATTAATAAAACCCTCATATGTTAAGAATTATCTTATAAATAAATTTGTTCAGAACTCACTGCACAATGTTAGAAGACAACCTTATTTGGAATCTGTTGCATTGCAGCCAGAAACCACTACAATCATTGCACAGCTGGCAGTGTATTGCACAACTAGAATTTATCCAAATATGGCCATTAGAAAGAAAAAAAAATTGAAGACAAAAATATTGAAAGTTACTGTGTTTCAGATTTTTAACTGAAACTCTAAACAGTTAAAAAAAGGGAAACAAAATTAAACATCCTTCAATCTATACAAATCTGGAATTAGACATAAACCCATTTAAGATATTATGCCCAAGCAATGTAACATTTAAAAATCACTGTACCACTGAATGTGGTTCATTTCACTATTTAAAAATATGTGAAGTTTGTTATTATTCTCTAATCTTTGACAGAGATTTGCACCTTATTATCTCAACTCTGTAATGCCATCTGCAACATTTTAAACCCACATATTACTTACATCATAATGTGTCCATAACTGTAATCCAGCTGAGCTGATGCGGAAGACACTAGAGAAAAACTGTTCCTTCTCAAAATACTCTGGAATATGAACGTCTTCTGCTAAAACAGGAAACTGCTTCCTGATATCTGCAATATCCTGAAACAGAAAGGGCAAAAGTCTGTTCTTAGAGAACCATCTATGCACATTTAAAATGGGGGAGCACTTCACAGTCATTTCCAATTATGTGAAACATGTGTAACATGGGTTACAACTTCAGAATTGGCAAACACCTGAAATCAGCAATGCTTTTCAGCATTTACTTGTTCAATAAGAACAGCCAGAGAGCTGTTCTTAACCATGGCTGCTAGGAATCACACTGAAGGAGCACGAGATCAGCATAAATCTTTTTTAGATTAGTTTACAACAGAAGTTAAAGAATGGGAGTTTAGCAATGTACTCTTCAGTGATCAGCTAAGCTCCCATGCAACAACAACTGTTTTAGACACATTGAAGTACTCTGACCTAAATCCAGTCAGATTCACAAACCATGTGACCCTAAGCAAGTTGCATGACAACAGGCTTTAAAAAACACTTCTAAACTGCAACTTTACAGAATTAGAACTGTAATCTCCAGTAACTTACCTTCCTAACATCTTCACCCACTGATCGCAAATAGTACTTTTCATCCTGAAGTGAACACAAAAAGAGAATTGTTTGGGGTTTTTAAATAAGAATTACCAAAACACTTAAACAAAGAGCTTGTATTTTCTCATTTATCTAATGCAGTTTCATTAAAATATGATACAAATAAAGGGCACCTACAAATTCAGCTACTTTGTTATACTGCCCTTTACTGATCCCTGCAGCTCATCTTGAGAAATGGGAAAAATAAGTTAACTGAATGGAGAAGAGTAAAGTGTGGGGAGACTGGTCAACTACTTCAGCATTGCTGTTACTGAACAGACTCAAAGCAAATGCAGATTATAATTTAAATTCTTCAGTATATTGACGCAGAAAACTATTTTGATTGGCTTCAAAACTTACAGCATTCTATGCAGCATAAAAGGAAAAAAGCATGTCTACATTCAAAATTATTTGCTTGCCAATCACAGTTATCTGAAAAATCCCTAGCCTGAACACTGATATGTGAAGATAACCACGCATTTTCTACTCACAGATTATGTTACCATATATTTGGATTTGTATTTTGATAGTCATGAAATGCTAAAATATCTTCATGACGTTTTCTTGCAAAACACACAAATGATAAGGTTGTTATTCTAAAGCAAGGTTTGATTTCTAAATTTTATACTGGAATTTTTGCTCATGTAAGCAGTTTTTTTTAAGAGAAACAGGACAACTGAAGTTAACCACACTGTACACATACAAAAAAACTTCTGAGAAGAATTACTTCTCACATTTTTTCCTTTGGCATCAAGCAACAGGAAGGTTAAATTAAAGATCAAGTCTTTTACTGAAGTAAGACTTTAAATTACAATTCATCACTTTCCTCTCCATATACCAGCAAAATAACCAACAGAAGAAACTGTGACACTAAGGAAATTACCTCAGTAAGAAAGTACTCCTTGTGCTTGACTTCAGCTGCTCTTCGCACAAATACATCAAAAGGCAGAGTTCTGAAATACAAATATTCGAATTTCTACCATGAATCAGTGTAACAACACATGGTCTAAACTCTAGATTTATAATAAGCTCCCTTAACATATCAGGTATAATGGAAGATGCAATAGGCTGCTCTCTTTTTAACTTAACATGGTGACTAATCAGGCTTTGCAGCAGATGTTTGAGGAGTTCTCCCAAGACAGAAATCCTACACTTAGAAACTTCTCTACTTTAGTGAATTGTTCCAATATATATCCAAACAGAAACCTGTGTTAGCTGAGGCTGGAAGCACCTCTGGAGATCCAAGCCCCGTGCCAAGAACAGGGTTCACTACAGCAGCTTGCATAGGACAGAATCCAGTTCAGTGTCTCTCCAAGGATGGAGACCCCATAATCTCCCTAGGCAACCTGTTCCATTTGTTCCACTGTTTGACTATCCTCACTGTAAAAGAGTGTGTGTCTGTGTGTCATAAAGCGGTTAGCAGAATTTCCTGTATTCAAGCTTGTGCCCATTGCCTCTTGTCCTGACACCATAAACCACTGAGAATCCAGCTCATCAACTGTTAACACTTTGTTAAGATCCCCCTCTTAAGCTCAGGAGTTCTGAATAGTCTGAGTCACAGAACAAAACATTTTTCCCAGTCAAATTAAGAGTCAAACTGTGGTGATACTTGCTTGACTGTTTCTTTAAATGTGTCATTTTTAGGCTTGTTTACTGTACATTTTTATAAATTTGCAGAAAAGCTCAGCACCAAGAAAACTTCAACAGGGAAGATGCACATGTAAATATCTATGCATTTTCTGCTATGAATTAGTGCAGGAACACAGATAACTACCTTCATTTGTACATCTATAAAATTTATTTCAGTTATATGGATTTCTGGAAAAAATATATACTTTCTCAGCTCCTCAAAATACAGGAATTTTGATATTTTCAAATGTTTATTTGAAGTTTTCCTTAAATTTACTAAACACAACTTCCAGAGTTTCAAGAAGAGTCACTGGGAATTCGAGCTGGTCCCTCCAAAGTCAGTAAGAGTGTTACATATTTATCTACATGACAGGAGCTTTTCATACCCATTACAGATTTTGGTATCAGATGACAGCTGAATGGCAAACCAAGCACAATCATGTATTCATTATGATGAATTCAATGTTACATTCATGCAGCTCACCATCTCACACTAAGTGTCACTGGATAATGAATTAATGAATTAAACACAATTAAGCATGTAAACATCACATTTCAGAGCAACCACCAAGTACCCAGGGTTAAGATGAAGCCTCTCAAGCAAACCTGTTATCTTTTTTACTAGAATGTGAATCTGCATCTGACAGTACTTAAACCAATTCTCTAAACATTTTAGGCTTGTTTGGAATAGGCATATACAAAGCCCACTGAAGTCAATGGAAAACCAAACAAAACCCAATGCTCTGACTTCAGCCAAACTGTTCTATCATTTCCACTTGCATTTGCTGCTGAAGAGAAAGCACAGCTCTACTACAGCTTAACAGATGCATTCTGGTGCTACCACAGCTCTGCCCATGCTATCTGCCCAAATCACCCTATCTCCCCCCTTACAGTGGCACTGGCACTCATCTGACCTCTCTGTGAACCTGCTTACAAAGCTAAAACAGCAGAAAAACATTCAGATTTCTGCAGCACGTCACAACCTGGCTGAATGAGTTCCAGAACCAGCACAAAAAAAGGGGTAGGAGCATGCAACTTAAAACAGAGCTGCAGTACTACTAATGTTCACCAGTTTAAATTAATGGAATTGCATGTTAAGTCCTCAGAGTTTCTATCCTTTTGTTTCTACTTATAGTCCCTTCAGATTAGAATGAGGTGCTTGCTGTGGAAAAGGTCAAAGCTTCCTGAATTTCAAGTGAAGTACGTGAAAGTCCTGACACCTGCTATAATGAAACACCATCAGAGCATCAGAGAGTCCATATGGCTGTCTACTAACCTGCTAAAACTAAGACTCCAGAACAACTGTATGTGAACTCACAGCAAGAGACACTAAAAAAACCCCAAAACAGAGCAGGGAAAATGAAGTATGGAGATAAGACAAAGTTAGTCAAGTACAACATAATTTCAGAGACTCAAAAATTCACTATGCAGTGAGCAGAATGCATCATGATTGTAACTTGTGCTTATCCCCAGAACAACAGGTTCCACTCAGAGACCTGTAGCTTGTTTACACCTACAGCAGAGACTCCCACCTGCTTAGAAGTTTAACAGTCTGAGCACATCCTGTTCCCACTTGAGGAAAACAAAGGACTGCTGAAATAAAGGCATTTACCCTTGAAGGACAACACGATGACTGAGATTAGATGAACTCTGAAGAAATGTTTTGGCAGTTACATAAGAGAAGCTCCAGAGGAGATCAAGGGTTTTTGTGGCCCACATCAAGATTAAAGAGCTGGTGAAATGTGTGGTATCCAGTGGTTTGAACATTCTGAAAGCAGCACATTCTAACTTTGATAAGTGCTTGGTTTTAATTAGTTACACCCTTTCTGGAGTGGAATGCCATGGCTGGCACACACACACACCAGCATTCAAAGGGGATCAGACACACAGTGAGTCAGAAATTATCACTACTCAGTAACACTGAGAATGCACTATATAACTAGAACAAAATAGCAGGTCATCGACTGTAGATATCAAGGGTGTTCCGGTTTGTTTTTAACTAACAGCTGCAAGTGCCAGGCTCAAATTTCCTACAAGAATGCTCTGACAAAATACCTTCACAACACTTCTTCATGATATCACTTTTAAGGTGCTGTTTGGCCCTTCATTTCACTCTCATTGTATTAATTCAGTGTGTAGAATTAATAGAAGAGGGAGAAATGTAGGGCAACCCTTTGATACATAATGTAATGTTTTCACAAACATCTTCCTATCCCCACCCTCAGCTTCAAACAGATGCACTGTATGTCTGTAAGTTACAAGCACATGCCTTTAAAATACAAGAGGCCTTGGAGTGAAGTACCTATACACAAAGTTCTTACGGAGGAAATCCATCTGTGGCACTGCAGAAACATGAATTTTTACTTCTTTGGGTCCTTCAGCTTGGCTCAGGTAATCTATTGTCCATTTGGTGGTGCAAGTGCCCAGTTCCAGTCCTGTCAGCACTACTGGCTTTCTCTAAGGAGCAACAACAAAATATTCAGTAGTGAATGATCACAGCATCCAATGGAAAACAAAACAGAATGAATTTTCAAATTACATAAAAGCAAACAAGTCAGTTGAATGCCAGGACCCACTGCACAAGGTCACAACTGATCTGTTCACAAGCAATGTGAAACAAATGCTGAATGCTGAAACAAAATGCAGTAAATTATGGAACTATTTCTCTATTAACTATGTGTTCTTGCCTAGTTGGGTAAGGAAGGATATGGAGAGGCAAAGACAATTATAGCCCACACTTTGTGCTGGGGCCGTTGGGGAATCCAGCCAGATGAATGAATAGATTTAATCTTTCTAGCCAAGGCTTAGCACAAAACATTTAAAAACAGTTAAGGTGCAGACTGTGAGCTGTGGTGATGCTGTTATTTTCTCACAAGAGAAGCTCATTCTGCCTATTTCAAGGCTCCTTCTTGCTCACAACCACAAACAGGTTTGATGCAGGCCACACACAAAAAGTATAAGAAACAAAAACACTTTTCCTTTTAATTGGGACCTCGGAGGGTGGGGGGGTAAGGAGAGGGGGAATAAAACAAAAGATGACAAAGCAACAAAATTAACTATCATACGTCTTAGCCACTGCCGAAGGAAATGGACTCTTACAGAGATCACCTGTCGGAATTTGCCAGCAGCTCAGACAGGATCTGCCTACAGAAGCTCCTAAACTTCCATGCCACTCAATGGATCAGGGCACCTTTCCGGGAACACACGAACCCAGACCTGAGGTTTGTCTGCCCCAGCTGTGCCCGCTGAGGGGTCCCCGGACACCTCCTGCCTTGTCCTGTGTCCCCGCGGAGCCCCAACCGCTCCGGAGGGTCCTGCTCCGAGCGCGCCGTACCCGCGGGTAGATGTCCCGCAGGAAGCGCTCCCGCGTCACCCGCTCCAGCCGCTCCACGGGCACCGCCGGCCGCTCCCGCCGCTCCATGGCCGCATCCGCCGCGTCCGCCCCGCCGCTTCCCCCGGAAAGAAAAGTCCGCGCAGAAGCGTTCCTGCCTCCCCTTCTGGGAAACGTCCTGGAGCTCGCGGATCACGGAATTGTCAGGTCTGGAAGGGATCTCTGGAGACCATCGAGTCCAACCCCTGCCACATCAGGGTCAGCTGGAGCAGGTGCCACAGGAAAACGTCCAGGTGGAGTTTGATTGTCTCCAGAGAGGGAGACTCCGTGACTTTCTGGGCAGCCTGTTCCAGTGCTCGGCCACCCTCAACGTAAAGTAGTTCTTTCTCAAGCTGAGCTGGAACTTACTATGTTTTAGTTTATGGCCATCACTCCTCCTGTCACCGAGCACCACTGAGAAGTGTCTGGCACCATCCTCTTGGCACCGCCTTTGAGGTATTTAGATGCACTCATGAGATCCCCTCGCAATCTCCTCCAGACTGAACAGGCCCAGCTCCCGCAGTCTCTCCTCATAACGAGAGATGCTCCGGGCCCTTAATCACCTCTGTGGCCTCCACTGCTCCCTCTCCAGCAGCTCCTTATCTCTCTTGCACTGAGAAGCCCAGAACTGGACACCGTACACCAGACGCGGCGTCCCCAAGCCCAGCAGAGGGGACGCCGCCCCTCTCCGGAGGTGACCGGGGCTCGCCTCCCCTGACCCGACGCGGTCGGAGCCGCCGGCCGCCCGGACCGCTCGCGCCTGCGCCGGAACCAGCGGCGGCCGCGGCCGTGTTTCCGGGGAGCGGGAGTTGCGGGCGGACAGGGCGGGGCCGGGCTGTCATGGCGCTGCGCTGCGCGGCTCCGGGCCGTGTCCGCTGGCTGGCGCGGGCGCTGGCGGGCTCCGCCCGGCTCCTGCCGCCGGCCGCGGCCGCAGCGGGCCCTCCGGGCCCCGCCCGGACCCGCCCGCCCCAGCCCGGCTCTCGGTTCGCCAGCAGCGCCGGATCTGGGACCGAGGGCCCTCAGCGGCGTGTAGTAGTAGTGAGGATCACTAGCCCCTTCGCCTGGCTCCGCACCCGCTTCTACTACCTGCTCATCCGCCTCTACTTCGACCAGGAATTCAGCATCGAGGAGTTCACGCGGGGGGCCAAGCAGGTGAGCGGGCCTGGGACCTTGGGGCGAGGAGAGCGGCCGGCCTGAGGGGAAAGGTCCTGCTGACCCTCCCCAGGAGCTGCCGGTGCTCGCGGTTATTGCCGTGGAGTTATAGAGCCAGTTAGGCTAGGAGAAGACTTCGTAGACAATCACAGATTCACGGAACAAGTGAGGTAGGAATGGATCACAGTGGGTCATCTGCTCCATCCTCCCTGCTCCAGCAGGGCCGTCCTAGAGCACATGGCACTGGATTGTGTCCAGACGGGTCTGGAATACTCGAGGTGAGGGAGACTCCACAACCTCTGGCATTCTGTTCCACTGCTTGGTCATGCTCACAGTAAAGAAATCCTTCCTTGTGGAACTTCCTGTACATCAGTTTCTGATTGTTGCCTCTTGTCCCGTTGCACCGAGCAGAACCTGGTCCATACTCTTGGCACTCCCCCATTTTAAATATTTATGCACATTGCTGAAACCCCTTTCAGCCATCTCTCTTTTTTTTTTTCATCTGGAGGCTGAACAGCTCCAGTCCCATAAGCTTTTCTTGTAGGAGAGATGCTCCAGTCCCCCAGTCCTTGCTGCTGGACCTACTCCAGGAGCTCCGTGTCTGTGTTGTACGTTCAGTCCAACCTATGACCAAACACCACTTTGTCGACCAATTTCTGGCATCAGTGTCATGTCCAGTCATTCCTTAAACACCTCCAGGGATGATGACTCCACCTCCTCCCTGGGCAGCTCATTTCAATGTTTGACAACCCTTTCCATGAAGGAATTCCTCCTGATGTCCAGCCTGATGTTACTGCATGTGGGCATCGTAGCACTAATGCACTCCTGTGTGTAAAACATACAGAGTTCCCCACTGCTGGCTCCAAGCACCACACTTTGAGGCAAATGATGTAAGCAGAGCTGTACTTTTCTTCAGGAAATTCTTGTTTTCCCAGATTCCACAATTAAAATGAACTGGTTAAGCCATTCCCCATAGCAGTGTGAAGGAAGGTGCTTCCAAATGTTACAGAGATTTTAAGGAGAAGTGTGTCTCCTTTTAGCAGGTTTTCCTGGAATGATAAAGTTTAGTCAGACATAGAGCTGGTGTATATATTTATTTCTCCAAATTTATGAGGCCAGTAAGCTTTGTCAACAGAATGTGTCAAAGAGGTAAGTATCTCAAAGTTAGTCATATGAAAAGTACAGTCTGTTATCTCTTGGGAAACTTTTTATTATTATGTTTACTTTTAACAAAAAAAAAAAAAACAGCTCAAAATAACACATCAGAGGACAGAATGTTAAAATTATCAATTCAAGAGAGGAAAAACCCACAACCTACAACAAATAATTTGATGCATGTGCAAAACCACCTGTTTTACCTTGTCCTGGTTTTTTGTGGGTTTTGTTTTGGTGTTTGCTTGTTTTTACTTGGTGTAGAATCTTAAATACACTGCCCTTCACAAGTGCACGACTTGAATATGTAGAGGCATAATTGGATGTAAATGTACATACAATTATGTATGTTTACATAAGGGGAGAAAGGAGAGTTGAGCTTCCTGAAGTCTAGAGACTAAATCAGATTTCTAAAGAAAATTTGTAAATTGCAGCATCAATTTTGACTGAAACCAGAAGATAAGTTGCAAAAGAGGTCAGGGGAACAAAATACTTACAGGGGAAGACACAGACTGTTTGAATTATCAGAAAGAGTAAAAGAAACATACAGAATACTGCAAAGCTTTTTTTTTTTTCTTTTGTAAACTATGAATTCACTTACCTCTTGGAAGCTTTGATGTTTTAAACAAGAGATTGAAAAGAAATAATGTATTTTTATCAGTTTATGAAATCACTCTTGTAATGCTGGAGGGATTACATTTCAATAGTGAAACCCTCTGCAAGTATTGAAATCTTAAATCATGGAATATTTGGGTAACTTGTCATATACTTATGGATTTGTCTGTAAAACAAGCCAACCTCGAGTTACTTGTTCATGTTTGGGTTTTGTTTCTGTTTTAATTTGGTAGGCCTTTTCTGTTGTTTCAAAGCTGCTGTCTCAACGTAAACTTGACCTGCTGGAAGAACTTGTATCAGCAGAGGTAAATGCTTTCCATCTCCTACTCTAACAATTGACTGTCTGTCATAAGGTAACGTGGATGCATTCAGCCTGTCGTTATCTGCAAGTTGCCAGTTCGGTTTAATTTGGGAAAAACAGCGTAATGCGACATAGGGTGGGCAATTTTTTGTCCTACAGCTTTTATTTCTGTTTATTTTCAAAGCACAAAACTTAATTCAAAGTTATTGTATTGTATTTAAAGCAAAATAAAATGCATTCTAGCTGTTGAGCATAAGGACCAAATGCCAGAAAGATTGCTGGTGTACCAGGAAGGATGGAAAGGCAGAGGGCAGGTGGAATTGTGTGTCTTTAGGTGTAGGCAGGTGGCTGAAGTTGAGTCAGGCTGACTCTGTGTACCAGAATTCCTTTGAAGAAATAAACTGGTTTGTGCTTGTCCCTGCTGCACTAATACATTCCCACCCCCATCAGATCATACGGCTGATTATCAATTTTGGCTGGAAGGCCTCAGTCTTGTGTCATGGTCTCAGGGATATGACTGACCTGGTTAAACATCAGTGCTGTGTTTTCTGTGTTTTTATGAATTTTTAATTGCTGAAGTTGTCTTGGCCTTCCCAGGGAATGGAGGTAGCAGATGCATCAGAGTCAAGTGGAGGAGACACTCCAGGTCTATGTCTGCCTTGTTACAGGATGTCAGCGTGGCCTGTCCTATTGCCAGCCATGCCTTTGCAGCAAAAACTCTGGTGCTGTTCTAGTGCATCCCCTCTGAACAGTCTTGCCTCCTCTCTCTGAACAGAGATAGCAATAAAACGTGAGTTTGTTTCTTGCAGTTGTTTTGAAAGGGCATCTCCTCTGCTTCCTCTTCAAAGAACTTGCTGTAAATCTTTCAGGTTTACAATGATGCAGAGACCTCATGTAAGTCAAGGATGTAGTAGATGAGTCTATGATCCCACACTACTTCGTCATTTCTTTGGTCAGTGAATTTTGTACCTGCAAAATGTATTAGAAACCAACGTCTCCTTGTGAAGATTGACTCTTGCTTCCATGTAACCTCTGCATTTGTTCATTATTCAAAAATGATAGATCAAGTTAGGGTAAAAAGAGTATTAGTTAAAAACAAGTTCTGCAGTTTCATCCTTCCTCGTGACTTGACTTTCTCATGTGGTGTTTGAGGTGCTACCTCTGTGCAGTTTTTGCACCCCACCATTTTCTATTTAACACAGCTGTGTGGATTATAGATAATGTGAGTATTACGTGAGTGTCATAAGGACATTAAGTACCAGGGGAACAATTTTTTAGTCTGTTCTGATTTGCAAGTGTTTAAACTTTTTCTAAATAGAGCGTGGATCACAAAATGGCAAAGATAAACTCATTAGTAATGAAAATTATCACAAATTTTTAAAGAAATTTGTGAAAGATAGCTAAAAGATGCTGAATCAACAGCTTAGGAACCTGCACACAGTGAGAATTCAGTGGTGAGGAGGCAGGGAGTGATTGTGGGAGCGAGCTTCTCTGGGCTGTTCTGGGCTGACATGGCTTGTGTTGCTGCTGCTGACAGTACCTTTTCTAAACATTTTTTAAGATGCTTGGTTTTTATTTGTTTTGAGCAGTAAATGGACCTTCTTCAATGCTGCTGAATTAGGGTTTAGGAATGCCCAAGTTTCCCAGTGCTTGTTCCCTTCAGCTGTTACATGTCTTAGATGAATGTTTTAGCAATACTGCTCATTTTATTAACTGCAGAAGAAATAGATTGTTACTTAAATTTCTTAATAAAAAACTAAGTGACAGTTTTTCTGAATTTAGGTACTTCAGGTGCTGAAGGAAAAGATTTCTTTGCTCCCTGACAGCCACAGGGATGCTTTAGCAGCTGACATTGATGCAATCATGTACACAACAGAAGGAGATGTTCGCATTTACTATGATGATGATGGTATGTTTAGAATCCTAAAACATTTCAGCAATGAGCAGTCTTATTTCCTGGTTTTGCTACTAAACAGACATTTTCCATGCAGATGTGGTTTTGGGTCCTGTTTCTCATTCCTTGTTTCTCTGTTTGTCATTCACCCATATAAAATTTCTTGATTTCCTTTTAAACCAGAGACAGAGATTATTGTTTATAGATCATGGTACTGTTTTGACTTCTGTTTTGCTTACTCCTCTTCTTTTTTACAGACTTTTGTAT